TAGAGTAAATATCACAGTCGAGGATCAGATATGAATATTTGTTTTAGTTAGAGAATAAGAGAAAAACAAATCTAAAGCAAAGTTAAAAAAAATGCACTTGTTTTAATTGAAAAGAAATGTCAATTCAAACATTAAAGTATTTTACACAGACTATTATTTCAGAGATTATACGTTTAAGTAATTTTTTTTGTGTACAAAAATAAAAAATGTATTTTATAAGTAGTCTTTTGCAATTGCTTATGATGAAAATTATAAAAAAAAGAATAATAGCATAAAATGATCCAAACGTGAATTGACCAAAAGGCAAACTTGTTTCTAATTGCATAGAGTTGAAAAAGTGAATTTAATTATTGATATTAAAAATATTTTATACAGATTTTATGAAATCTCAGATTATTAACCATATCTTCAACTGATTGTAGTAAGAGCCAATTATTAGACGCTGCATTATATTTTAGGATGTCTATGAATATATATTATATAACACTTCAACATTATATGATCTATGAAGAAGAAAATTATCATTTAACTATTCAATCATTCTTATGTTATTGTCAATCATCAGTTATTTCCTCTCGTACAAAAATAACAAATTCATTTGTTGAATTCATCTCCAATCAATATTGCACGAGTACTATTCATTAACTTTAATTAAATTTTTATGTTGAGATGTTATATAATTTCAAGTTGAGTTTGTACATATGAGATACCTTGACACAAGACGGACTTATATCCATCATATCGTTATAACAATGACAGAAAAAGTAAATAGAGAAAAATGTAAAAAAAAAAAAAACGAATAATATTACTGTTTACTTAATATTTACTATCGATTGTAAGAAACGATAAGCTTTAAATATTAGAAGTAAGCATTTTTATAATGTCTATTAGATATAATAATAACATGCTAATCGTTATAAGCGCATGTTAATATCGATGTGAGATGTACGAGTGCCTCGAACAAATAATTATACATTTTCAAAGACGATGTTTTCAAAACCATTTGTTTTGTTTTTTACAAAAAAACAAAATACAACAGTGATAAATTTTTGCTATTGAGGACTTGCAGATAGAGATAAATTAATATGTGTTCACGATTAGTCTATTTTTTTCGTATATCTCACACGTTAATATCTTAAGTAAACGTTTAAATAGTCTGCTCCTTTCCAGTCGCGTCACAATTATTAGCACGTCTTTTTTTGCAGATGAAAATGAAATTCTTTTTTCCTTTTATTAATTAAAAAAATTGGTTTTAGGATTTAGTTTTTCAAAAAGCACATTAATTTTTTAAGAGAAAATATGTGAAAAAAATGGTAGAGGAAGATTAATCGAAAATAACTTCAATTTAGGATTAGGAATAAACAATTTTACTTCGCATATGCTTCCAAAGAATTCTAACTTACATAGTGATTTGCGGTTTTTAAATCGTTACGATTTGTTAATTGAAAATCTCGTTTATGATAATGAATTATTTATTTGTGCGAATCTTAAATTTAAATTATTGGTAGAAACCGTAATTTATTTAATTTGTTTGAAAGGAGCTATACACTTCTGCTATAGTGCATTAATCATACATGTGTAAATGATTTTAGTTAAAAAGTTTCAACGCAATACATACGTAGATTTTCTTGGATCTTAAACAGTATATAATACACATAGTTAATGACAAACTGTACAATAGATTGTACACGTATCCAATGTGTGACCTGTAATAATGAATCAATATTTTATACAAATTGGTAAGATACAATAAATAAGTTTTATAGTCATTTTATGTGTATTCTGTCTGAATATCTCTATTTCTTAAGGCCTCCAGATACCTCACAAGTAATTTTAATTTTATTATTTCTCATTTTCAAATTGATCAACATTGATCAAGTTTAATTATAATTGTTCAAATATAAAAATAATAATATTTTTATTATCTATAAAATAATCGTTTTATTATCTTTTCTTGTATATAAAATTTAATAATATTTTTATTGTTCTTTATTCCTCATTCAGCCTCAAAGAATTATTCATTTTAAAGTGAAAAGTAATTGTTCATGGATTAATATCATTTACGATAGCAAATATTTATTTTTAACTACAGTGCTCCATACGTGCATTTTTGTATAAAAATAATCACGTGCGCGTCTTATTTGAGACATTACGCTTATTGGATCGAAATCAGAGACACGCTTTCAATTATATTCGAAATTGTATATTCCCAAAGAAACTTGTATCAAAATACGATGCCCGCTCTTCGACGTCAGGGATGCGCGCCATATTCTGGTTCTTATAGCACGTGTAATCGATACACGAAATCCAAAGTGTTATGTATTTATTTTTCGTCCAATAAGTGCGCGGAAAAAGAGGAATGCCTTACGTATTATTAAAAAAATCGTCAAACTGAATGTATATATTTATAGAAAATTTTTTAAATATACAAAAATGTCTGGAATATTCAAAGAAAGAAAGATATAATGTTTAGAAGATGAAATAAATCTTTATCTGGATTCTATTTCTATAAAATCATTATGGGGTTTCATTGATATGAATTTGTATTAATATCTACAAACTACAATTTATAATTTGTATATATATTTCTTTTTTATTATTTTATGGCTTAACGTTTCATGAATTTCGTCAGATTATAGATTATAGAGATTATTGAGAAATAATTGCAAAAGATTTTATAGAATAAGAATTTCACTATATCATTTCTTAAAGATCTCAAGTTTATGAATAAAGGAAGAACTTATTCTTTTTTATATTCAACTTATTTTTAACGAACAAGTATAATGAAAATAATTTTTATTTATGAAGGGAGTATAAGCCTTGAAATGAAATCTTACCCAGAAAAAAACAGGATTTGTTAAAAACAACAGTCCAATAAATCTAAATTAAAATGTGCACATTTTTTTTTTTAGTTTGCAAAGTAGTTGATTGCGATTCCAAATATTTTATAGAGTTTATACACTTCTATGAAATATCAAGTATTATAAAATTATCGATATTTCAAGAATTCAATTTTCAATATCGAATACCATGATGATCTTGGTATTTTTAATATACACGTTGCCATATTTGTATCGAGTTGTGATTTTTATTATTAAATCATTACTTCGACAAACGGGCATTAAAACTAAGACTAAGAAAAATGATAAGTAACTTAATTACTTGGCGAGAGTATCGTCACATGAATAGAGGATGCTTTGAAACTTGTAATGAAAAAACTCGTTTCATAAGAAAGTTGCTTTTGTCAATCGAGTGATATTAATACACTATTAATAAAAAAAAAGAGACGGAAGATCCAAAAAAATGTTATATATATAAACACACACACATAAAAAAAGAATGAGGTGTATCTTTTTTAAAGGATCGATTTAATATTTACGGAGGGATATTTTCAACTATTGTCAACTATATCTGGGTACTGCATCGATCCATGGAGTTTTGTACAGGTCAACATCGGCGTAGCATGATATTCTTTTTTTTTTTTTCGATTGTTCATCTGCTTTTGATAACAGTTTTCTTTGCTCGTGTTTTGTGATTTTTGAACGCTTACCATCATTTTTTTGTATTTACGAATGAAGCTTGATATTTTCATTGCAAAAAGGAATTTGTAGAATTCTTTAAATTATTTTTATGTAAAAGTAAGAAGAATATATATATATATATATATATATATATATATATATAGAGAGAGAGAGAGAGAGAGAGAAAACGGAGACAATTTATGTAGACCGATTTAAAAAAAAGTTAGTATAGGTTTCTATATCGGAGAACTACTGTGCAGAATTTTGTTCATTTTTAAGTTATAGCTAGTAACAAATACTTACAAATACTTATATTATGTTACTGATGCGTTTGAAGCTTCATACGGAAGAACGAAAGAGTGGAAAAAGATTTAACTGACATTTTATCTTCATACAGGAATGTTGGAAAATGGAAACAACATTTTTGAAAGTATCGCCAAGATAGAATTATTAATTATAATTATTAACACTAATTTTTTAAATCAATTCTATCAACGTACTAATCTCGGTTAAATATGACTATTTTGTTAATAAATAACTAATTCTGTAAGTTTGCGATATTTCTAAATCATTTTGTAATGAAAAGCAAAAATATTTTAAAACGTGAAGGACCTCCAGTTCATATACCTTAGAACTAAAATATGAAGGCAAGTAATTTTCTCTGATCGCGTTCCGCGCGTATTAATTATACAAACATTTCACCGCGATTCTCATTCCATCATCACCTATTCCCGTTCTCGCTTAAAATAGCAACACGAGCTAATTTCAGACACTTTCAAACCCAAGCGAACTCGAAAATAAAACCGCGAAAAGTTACCGACAGCTTTCGCATTTCCCCTCGGAACACCCCCTTGGTATACCCCTGTCCTGTACACAGTTCCTCAAATAAAGTCACAGAAGGTCTTTGTCCTCGATTCAATTATCAAGTGTCGCTGACAATGCGACTCGCCACAATGTCTGCTTCTTCGACGAAACGGAATCAATGAGCTCTCCGACCAATGGGACAGAGAAAAAAAAAACGCACGTACGCACGCACGCACGCACACATACATACATACATATGAAACAAAAATAAACAGGACTAAAAAAAGAGAAGAAATGCAAAAGAGAAGTCAAAAATGCCAATAAAGTTTCCGCAGGAAAAACGAGCGACCGAGTCATCCCGTTTCACCGTGGACACGCAATAATCCACGGGCATATTAACCGGAGTCGTGGTTAAAAATTCTCCTGCTTCTCTCTCTTTCTCTCTCTCTCTCTCTCTCTCTCTCTCTCTCTCCTTTTTTTATTCGTTCCTCCTTTTCAAAGTGGTCCATCGGAGGAGGACGAGGTCTAACATAGCAGTGGGATCCACGCATATTGCGTGATCCACCGACAGCAACTCTCAGCGATGGTGTATGTACAGCATGTACCATTCGGTGTAGGTGTGCTCTATGGGGGATGGACGCCTGCGCGGGTGAAATGTACCCTATATAAGGAAACGGCCGCGTACACAGCCGGTACTCAGATTTGGAGAACCTCATTGGGAGGACACTGTGACAAAAAAGTTGAACGAAATGGGCCTGACCGGAAACCACCTCGTTAGCCTTTTGCTGTACATCACCGTAGTCAACGAGTTCCGACTTCCTCTGGTGAGTCTATGACCTTTTTCTCCTCGTGTCCCGCGTCACGGTCGTTCCGTTAGAAAGAGTCGACCCTGTTTCGCGGCAACTTTTCTTTTCATGCCGCGTTTAAAGTCAAGGGGCGAGGGTGGGTTATTGTTGATGGTTGTTTCATTGGTATTCATTGGTACTCGTTATTTTTATTCGTTATCGAATTTTAAATCGTCTGAATGCAGTGCGGTTGGACGAACGGAACGGAGATCGAGAATTTTTTTTTTTTTAGGTGTGGATCGACGAGAAATTAATTTAATTTTTAAGAGGGTTAATATGAATTTTTTTTATTGGAAATTTCGAAGCGTTTTTGTATAATGATTAAATTGATAACTGACGATTTTCTGTGACTTTTAAAAGGAGAAAAATATGTGTATCTTTTTACTTGTTTAAATTGAATTAAATTAAAATGAATAATGAATTTTTAAATTTTTGTATTTAGAACATATATATATATATATATATATATATATATATATATATATATATATATTTTATAATATAATATTTAATTTTATAATATATATATATATATATATATATATATATATATATATATTTTATAATAATTCACAGAATTATTTATAAAAATGTGCTAACATTTTATTTTCATGCAAAGAGGGGTAATTATCTTTTATTCACTTAGTAAAATTGTTTTCATTCGATATACTCTAATCTGTTCTTTGCTGACTCTTTTTACTTGATAGAAAATTTCAATTGTGCAAGAATTATGAAAGGAATGTTATACTTTTTCTGGAAAGTTTAATAAAACAGTTTCTTCTCGTTTATGAAAAGTCTAAAATTACACGGATTAAAAGTTCTTAACGCACTTACGAATTTAGATTTGACTCTAGAAGAAATGAAATTTTACAAAAGTACATATCTACAAAAATCAGAAAGTTTTATTCAGGAAATATATATATCTTTTATAAAAAAAAATTTATATATTTATAATTTCTATATAATATTGTGCAACATAATTTTCCCAATCTCTCCAAGTTATATTTTAAGAAATTAATCATTATCATATATACGTATATATCCAGAAATATTGAAAATTAATGAGCCTAATACAGTAGAACTTCCTGGACGGATACCGTTGCTTATTGAAAATTTTAGGAACCTGGATCGTCTGGTTATTAACGCACTCAAAAAGTGGTCAGAATTTCCGATCAAAGGGAATAGTTTGATCAAATGGATTAAAGCTCGAAATGCGAACCAGACATCGAACCGTATATCCTGCTAATGATTAAATCTCGTAGTTGATCTTTCCACCGTGAATGATTTTCTTCTTTTCAAAGCGATCAATTTAAGAATTGTTCGTCTTTAATTGAAATTGTATCTGACGTCTTTTTTAAATAATTTGACATTTGGACAGAAATCGTGCGAATTTGATAACAAATGTTTGACACAGTTGATTGCATAATCAACTGTGTCAATTGAAATTTTATGTAATGTATGTAGGTGATAAGATTATCAATGTTGAGTAAAATAGTTCACTATCTAATTCCAAAATATAAATCTGCCAATAATTGAGCTTATACGATTTTACTAACGCACAATTACGTTATAAATATTCAAACATCGTTGCTAGAGAATCATTTAAATCAGATCGACCAATTTTTTGGTAACAGAGTGCTTGATATAACCGTATCGCATTATACTATTCATTGAGTATTAATTTTCTTAGAAAGCTTTAGAAATTAGAGCGTTTACTTGTCGAATGGTTTAATTCAAAACTGTTTCTGCGATCCATTTCGAATAATACAAAGCACGTTTCGAGGAAAATCGTGACTAACGCGAATAAAATGTCGAGATTCATTCTACTCTCAAAAAGCAAACAATTTTTTTCAAGAAATTGTATACAGATTATGCAATCAATTCTAACTAAAATTTTCTCCAAGTAAAATCGATTGAAAAAGAAAGGAGATAAATGTCAGCTTCGCGTGTGAAAGGAGATAGATAAAAGCATCGTTCGAACGATGGACATTTTTTAATTATCGTCAGAATTGTTATTTGACGCTCTGAGGCAAGAATTATGGCCATTGATGTTTGAATAGTGTACATACAGTCAAAATTAAACCAATCAATCGTAAAGAATCTAGATTACGATGATTGTGAAGTATTTATATTTATATTAAACATTGAGGATATACCTATTTCCAATAAAAGATAAATTATATAAAATATATTTTATAATATGTATCCATTCATTTTATCGCGTCGATACTTTGTCAATTTGAGAAATAATCTGCAAATTTACTTATTTAAATTTCGAATGATAAAGCTACTTAGGAAAATTGCTTGCAAATGCAATTAATACATTTAATTTTGTCGCAATATGCAAATTACATTAATTTGCAATATGCAATTAAGAAGATATATCCTTTCCTCCTTTTTCCACAAGAATTTCCATCGTGTGAAGTTCTCAAACTTGTACTATCGTGTTAAGTAAGAAGTTTGATCATTTTCAACGATGAAAGCATTATTATTCAACGCCTCAGTGGCAGTTTCATGAAAATTGTCACCTGAAATTTTCTCTCACACGATGAACCACTCCATTTCGATTTACATCATGCACATCTTGCATCAAAATATTATTTATTTTTATCTCTAGAATTGAAAATAACATAACATTTAAAAATAACAAAATAACATCTCTCAAAAAGATCTCAACGCACGTATAATTTCATTGTGATTACGAGGTAAAAAAATAGCAAAAAGCTATCGGTTTCCTACACAATGGTCGATTCGAGAGCGCTATTGTTCTTTATTCTAGGCAATTCCCAGCCCCATTCATTGTCAAGTTTTATTTGCTGTCGCGATGCAGCGAAACCTTAGATCGTGGCCACTCTTTCAAGTTTTTTTTAATTTTGTAAGACTGTAAATTTGTACAAAATGTGATCCACCTTGGTTAGTTCATAATGAAATTTCGTAAGGCCATCGGCAAGCATTTTTACATATCGGTCCTCGTTTTTCCTCGCTCAGCTTCTCATGTAATTTCACTTTGATTTATTAAAAATTGTTTAGTTTCTTCCACCACTTGTATTTAATATTAAGAATACGAAGGAAAAGATTATTTTTAGAGACGAGTTATTCCGGAATAACTTCTTTCAAACTATCGCACGTGTCACTTCAAAATTATTTATTAGCTTCTATCTTTCTGTTATGTATTATATTATTATGAGACAACATTGCACATTAGTATTGCGATAATCACAGCAATTATTAATCGGAACTTGATCTCTGACTCTCCCAAGTGTAAAAATACTCGTACGATAAAGGCTTGAACGTACAATCGATACTTTTTTTTAAATTTTGTATAATGTACAAATAAATAAAATTATTACAGATATTGCACGAGTTTAAATTGTTCAGTATTGCCAATACTTCATTAATTTTTATTTCATCGCACCTGGCTACTAAATTAAGCAATGCTGTGAAATTTCCCATTTTTCATGGAATTTTCAAAACCGCGTTAACCTTTCTCCACCTTTCTTCAACCAAAGTATCAGAACACTTGAAACTCTCTGAAACTTCTCATGTATCTGAAAGTACGGTTTCCTGTACGCAGCGTATACTTTCTTTCTCTTATTTTGTTGAATAAAAATGTGCACTCCTTGATGCACGTTCGTTGCACAATTAACAAGAAGAACAAGTGCAATTAGATAATTTCGAGAGTAGATTTGCCATCGTTTTCTTTTTCGCCGGTTTTACGCGTTCGGCAGGGGCAATTTCTCACCAAAGGAACGCGTTATCCTTGCAAGAAATTTAATTAGTTTCCAAGAGTGGTTGTCCATTGTCTCTTTTATTCGCAGCGACCTGTGGATGACGTGCGCCGAACTTCATTTACATTCCGCCAGTTAAGAATCCCCCTTGGAAATAAACAGAGAGATAACGTATTTGCGAACTATTCGATGCTAGCGCGATTTTCATCAAAGTTCGAACGAACCAGTTAAATTTTATCTAATTTCTCTAATTTATACGTACGGAATTCCAAATCCTCGATTACTTCAATCATGGGAACTGACTAGTTAATTCTTGCTTTGAAACAAGTCATTGAATTAAAAAATTAAATTTCTAATATCTAACGTTTCATATTACATCGCCATGAACGATGTGAATGTTTGTTTCTTATATTGTTTCTTATATTGTCTCTGTTAAGAAAAGGGGAAAAAAATCAATCTTTTCGTTAAGTTTTTGAATAGGAAAAGCTTTAAATAAAAAAATTGTAGAATTGTTCGCCGATCGTATTGTAAAAATTTTTGCCTCCGTAGGCAATACAAGTCGTTCAAGTCACGAGCGAAGTTCCTTTGAACTAAAGTTCTTTTTTTCTTTTCCTTTTTTGAGAAATCCTTTAAAGATTTGATTGAAAATATTTCTTCATATCTTTTAAAAGCCTAGACTATTAAAAAAATTAAATGTTGTAGTATACTTATTAGCGAAGAATTAAATACTTGAAAATCTAATTAATTTGCTTTCCAATATCTAAAAATTTTTAAATCTCTTCTTACGAACTTTCGGCAGTAAATACTCAAAAGATTTACATTCATAGTATTATCGACCGACGTTTCATAAGACACAGTTCGGAACTGAATGGTAAAGCGTGCAAGGTTTATCAAAATGCGAATTCAAATGTGATCTGCGATGAGGACCTTCTTCAAGACATCGCGGTGGCTTTTATCGCCGATCAGTAATTTCCGTTGAAGAGAAAATGCGATGAGAGTCTGCTAAAAGTGAATTCGAGTACACACATTCGAAGACAATACCTCCCAATACCCTATTAGAGTTGAATAATAATTTGATTGTTTAATTTAAACATATATTTTGCAGTTGATAGGCTTGCGTGTGTCTGTAAGAATACTTTATATCTGGGTTTTTGTGGAAATTTCATTAGCGCCCTTAGTGGTTAAGAATGAATTTAATATCGCGTTAAAAGGCAGAAGAATATCAGTAGATATCGTTTATCGCATACCTAA